TCTAATATAAGCGGCTCAGGCAGACTTTATGACCAACAAACATGTCTTTATAGGAATATGATCCTGCCTACCCATATCTACGGTAGATCATTTTCTCGCGATATCCAATATCGGGAGTTCAGACCCTTTCGCGACCTTTCCCTCTACTCTCGCGCCCTCATTTTTCGGTATTCTCTACTTCTAATCTCATGCCCTATTGATATGATCATCCGTTTTCGGTATGAAACTAGCGGTTTATAAATCGTGGGACACGATTTCCTGCACTTCTCAGGGTCGCTCATAGATGAGCACAAGTACTTCATCCGTAAATCTCCTCTAACAGACACTATGTGCCTGTTCCTAGCAGCATGTCTCCGAGCCATAATCTCATTACACTTGGCTCTGAGGTCTATACTTCGTTGTAGCGATGGGTTACCAATCACCTGTTTCTGAGGATCCTAGCCACAATCTCTCTCTAGGATGGAGGGAATGTAGCGTCCTCACATCATATTCCTCTAAGGTCAATGCCTCGCTGTAGTCCGATACTACTATTTACTCAATTCAAATACCTCTGAGGCCAATGCCTCCATTTTGTTCTCTATCGTCGCCCCTGTCTGCAGAGCGTCATTCCTTCAGAGCTCCAACCACCTCTACCACCGTATCGTGTGCGATGAAAACAAACGATACGACGGGAGGAATAGTATCCGTTTAGTGGGACTCCTACCCCCACGGTCAATACTTACCGGCAGTAGTATTCGAGCGCCCCTATCTGCAGAGCGTCTAAGCTCCTGCTACAAATATAAGCGCCTGCTACGAATAAATCTGCCCCAAAGTTCCTGGCTATATACCAAAAAAAAATACTTTCCTCCAGAAATATAAGTAACCCAAATATGCCTAGCTATTAGGATTTCAACCAAACAAACATAAAGTGTCCAAAATCGATAAGTTTACCCGTTATTTATGCAGAGCGTCATTCCTTCAGAGCTCCAACAACCTCTACCACCTTATCGTGTGCGATGAAAAAAAACGATACGACGGGAGGAATAGTATCCGTTCAGTGGGACTCCTACCCCACGGTCGATACTTACCGGCAGTAGTATTCGAGCGCCCCTATTTGCAGAGCGTCTAAGCGCCTGCTACAAATATAAGCGCCTGCTACAAATATAAGCGCCTGCTACAAATATAAGCGCCTGCTACAAATAAATCTACCCCAAAGTTCCTGGCTATATACCAAAAAAAATACTTTCCTCCAGAAATATAATTGACCCAAATACGCCTAGCTATTAGGCTTTCAACCAAATAAACATAAAATGTCCAAAATCGAGCTATATACCAAAAAAAATAATTTCCTCCAGAAATATAATTGACCCAAATACGCCTAGCTATTAGGCTTTCAACCAAATAAACATAAAATGTCCAAAATCGATAAACTTAGCAAAAATAAGACTTTTTCCGTTATTTGGAATTCAAATTACTTCAACCTCTGATCAACTGACCACCCGTCTAATTACGTGTCTATCCACTCTTCAGAATATTTTTTCACATTTTCCTTTGAAAACCTTCCTATATAGCCCTTGTGGATACGTCACTGGTCCCCACACATTATGGTGGAATTTCTAACGTCACGTCCGTGCCACCTCTCAGTCACTGGTCTTTTTCATTACTTGGAGCGTTAGTAAAAACATTGGAGAGAGTTCAACATTTTGCAAAACATTATATAACAATACCAAAAAAAAACAAAAAAAACCTACCTTTATTGGCTTCTTTAATGACCTGAAATGCAGCCTGAAGCAATTTTTTTCTTTTTAAACCAAACAAAAACCTGCTTTTTCTTATTTTTATTTTCCAGACAGGAAGTGCTTTTTCCTACCCCTTAAAAATTGTACAACTAATCACCCAGTATATGTATTCCTCTACACTAATTTGAAAAACACAAGAATTTCCTCTGTATATACATCCCGCTAAAACAATGAAATCACATAAAAATACAAATCAAAAACTGCTTTTATTCGTACCACCCTCTTCTTTAATAACACTATAGAACCGACTGTCAGGGTTCTAAAATAAGAAAAAGAAATTATCTAATCCTCTGGTCCCTTTTTCTCTTTGTCCCTATACTAAATCAATTAGCACACTAAACGAATAGGCAAAATAAAATTCACCCTGAACTTTTCCTAACAGAATGTCACGAATTTTGAAGTTATTTGCCAATGCTGCTGGGACACACGAATGTTATCATTTTACTTTTACTTCAGGGAGAGTGGTGTATAACTTCAAATTTTCACCATTTTTTTTGTAATTGTACTCTAGCTTAACTATCAGCACTAGGAACCCCACAATATGTAACCTCTTTGTAAATAGGAAGTGGACTCAGATAAAATATTATGTGAACTCTCTCTAAATATCAACTGGTTAGTAGAAAAAATAGCGCCTCTTTGTGTGGTTCGTGGTCAACCATATGTTTCGTTGACCCGGTGTGTCTTCTACACCAACACTTTTAGTTTAAACTCCCCTGTACCCCATACGGGCTTAAGATTTCACTATCGTTTTTACTTAAATTTCGCCCCACGCGCTTACAAACGAAATATCTCCCCTATTTAGGCTACTTCCCTCAGCCTCAAAGGCTGAGGGATGAGACCCCCGATCTCGTCACAACGAGGTCCGGTGACCGACCTTTTTTGTCTGTGAGAAACTCCCAAGCCCTCGCGTCAGCTACGCTATCTACAAAAATCTCATATCAGTAATTCAGCGCTTTTTCAACTGGAAAAATATCGACACCGAAGAAACGGGTGATCGACCTCGATCTCAATGAATAAAATAATATTTTATGTTACTCTCGTTATTACAACCCTGTATGAGGAGTATAGTACAGTGGATACTACTCATTACTGTCTATGAAGCTTCGGTATTATCGAAACGCGTCTAGAATTGAAAAATGTTCGTGAAAATTGTTTAATTATTATCATTTCATATTGATTTCCATCGAGTAACAGAGCAGTCCATTCGTATATATATTTGAATGTATTATTCATCAAATCATGAATATTCTACAAAAAAGTGACATTTTCTTCATGGAAAAGACACAAGCACTACAGGAAAATATCTAAGGAACTCTGACAGCGGTGCCTGATCGAAAATAGTGATTAAAATTGGATTTGAATCACTTTTGAGATTGAATCCATTTGGAAAAACGCTCTCAAGAAGTAAATTCCATGCAAAGGCAGTTCTCCAAATGAAAGAGTTTTTGAACAGTGAAGTTCGAAGTGAACTGAGTTGAACTTCAAAACGATGCGCACCCACAATCCGTCGCGTATTTCTGATATGTACGACTCTTGGTGCCAAGAAACTTGAACACTTCCCGTAAAAGTATCTATAGAAGAGACACGAATATCTACCTTTCTTCGATATTCCAGAGTATCGAGGTTACAAAAAAAGTTCGCGTCTCCAATCAGGTGGATGACTCTTTTCTGGATGGAATCCAGCAACTTCAGGGTATGTTCGGGGGCAGAGCTCCATACATGAGAACAATACTCCAAATAAGGTCTAACCTGAGCTTTATAAAGCATCAAAAATTGCTAAGGTGAGTACAGTTTTCTGGTTCGTAACAATGTTTGAAGCTTTTGAGAAGCAGCGACATTCCAGCGACATTATTGTGCCAAGACATATTGGTGTCGATTTTAATCCCCAACAAACTCATCGAAGCAGAAAGTGGAATTGTCTGACCAGACATTATTATAATTCATATGCACAATATGTAATTTTTTCATAGGAGTGAAATTATTCAACAACCTTCCGGAGTACCTGAGGAAAATAAAGTGAGAATTTCTCCAAATCAAAATTGGTTACATTTTCGCGAGAAAACTGCTTTCATAGCGTTTCTGAATTTATGAATCTAAAATAATATACTATGTACCTATAATATTCTATATACCTTCGTCCATATCTATATTTATTCACGTTTATATTTATTCATATCAATGAACAATATGCATAATCAATTATATATGTACTGCCAATATGTTTCATTTATATGGATATGTATTTGATAATTTGACATTTGATAGTTTGGCATACATTCTGAATGTTAGATTTTCGCAACAAAATATAGTTGACAAAATGTTCGAGTGTTAGATCGGGATTCAGACGTATTATTGATTATTTTTGTAATAGAATATTAGATCAGTGTTTCAAAATTCGATAAGAGCCACGTGCAAGTTTTCAAGATATCTATGTTTCGAAGCAATTCATTCTAGATCTTTCTGCGATTTCCATCACAGAAATGAAGAGAATTTTCAGTGGAAAAATGTACTCTGATTACTCACCTGAAAGTACGAACAATAGTTTGGATGAGCGTTTCATTCAATCAGACAAGAACAGCAGAAAGATTAGTACGAAATATAGAGCAACCAAATGATCGATAAAGTGGTTTAAGGAAACTACTATTCGACTTACTATATTTATTTGAGTACAGCCATTTGAGTTGACCATTTTATATGAAAGACGTTGGAAATATGCATATTCAGCAATATTTTTGAATTCATGAAATGTATGTACCTCTTGTAGGAATTTGGAGGAACGACGAAAAAATACTATTCGTCAATACCGAATTGGCACTTCGATTTTCAATAATGCGCTCACTTGGAAAGATTTTTTTCACATCATGATCCATAAATTGAAGATCTGAACAAAATACCCCTGATAAATTTCAATTCTTCCACCATCTATTAATATGTGAACAGAGTTGGGTCAATTTTATTGCTCATGTCGAAAGTTTTTGACGAAACAAAGGCATATCGAGTTTTATGCAGCTTGGCTGATTTTTTCTTGAGATAATTGAACCAATGAGTCACAGAAGTTATAAAAACCGATGACGAAATCAGCAAAATCAGTAGTAAGGTAGGAGAGAGGTGTTACAGATTGAAACACATCCAAGTTGTCCTACAATCGTCACAATTAAAAAAAACAGTTTTTCATGTATATTTGAATTTGAATAATCAAATTTATTTTTATGAATATTGTAATTGAATGCTGTACTTACTCACATTTCTTTGTTTACAGAAAGCATTCAACAGTAATATCAAACAGCTGCATCTTCTCAATTATCCATCAATTGCTGAACCAGTCGTAACGCTAGCAAAAAAACTTTTAAATCCCAAAATTGCACAGAGGGTAAGATACTTCAACATATTGAAAAATGAATCAACAGTTTTGAAAAATTTCACCTGAATAATATAAACTATTTCATCAAATTGTGAAGTTTTGACAAAAAAATTTATTATTCAGTTGCAGAACAAGTTTTAGCCTTACACTTATAATTTTCATCTGAAGAAAAACATTTTGTACAGCAGCAATTTTGACCTTTCAGGAGTAAAACTACATTCCTATCTTTAACATTTCTCTTATGTTAATACGCCGACGCCATGTTTTAACGAATGCCGTTATCCGTTCAAATTTCTATAGTTTTCCATCTCCTTTCTGCGATGATGGAATCTGAAAGGATATTTTTACCTAGGAAAATATTTTCGTTTGGCCAATTTTCAATTTTGGGTGTATTCAAAATGAATACTCCCACCAAATACTTATTGTCACTTATTCACCAGTCTTTTTTGGTTTCAGTTATTGATGAGAATATTTGAAAATTGATTTTTCTATAAATATCGAATGATTCGAAACGAGTTTGAACGAACGAAATGAGGACACGATAAATTCCATTTTTCTAAACCAAGAGTTTTTTAATTTCAAAATTATTTATTATTCAAATGTGAATTTTCAGTTTTATTTCCACAAAGAGACCGATACAATTTTGAATTACGTTTCCAAGGATGTTTTACCTAGGGACTATGGAGGTGATGGTCTATCTCTGAGAGAATATAGTGGTAAGTAATGGAAACATGATAAATGATTGTGCCATATGGAACATTTCCGATAGTTGAAACAACCTTAAAAAATTTCAAAGGTGGCGTGCTTCTTCAAATAAAAAACAAAGGAGAATGTTCTTTCTTAACGTGACAATTTCTGTCTATAGTTGAAATCGTGAGTCACCCACTTTGTTAATCGATCTTGTTTATCTTTTCATTACGTTTCAAACTGTCAAAAACCTCTTGGGAGGTGACGCCCAGTTCTTTGGTCATTCCTCGTGATAGGTCAGTTTTCAATAGGGTCCTCAAATCCTCGTACAGGATCACTGTGGGTCGACCACTTTGGGGCTCATCTTCAAGGCTAAAATCTCTGGAATGGAATTTCGCAAACAAATTTCGAACATTGTCTTCATCAAAGGTTAGGTTAGGTCCAAAGTGAGTGGGTCTATTTGACCCTCCATCGCAACCCGAAAGTGTTTATTGTGGCTCATATCTATTCACACTCGACCGAATACACCCAGCTTCCTAACGAAGCCGATTAGTTTGTATGATGAGTGGTCTTTCAGAGCAGATGGTGGAAGTACGGCTCTGCCGCTGGAGACCTGATTCGGTCCCCAGCGGGGCAGGCACAAAGTATATGCTCTGCTGTTTCATCGATAATGAGGTAGTTGGATAGTCAAGGTGCAAGATTCCCACTTTGAAACTCGCGACAACCTTCCTATATGAGGGTTTTTGTACATCAGCTACACCTGACGATGCCTTAGATTCAACCGTGCAGGGTTTTTTGCCTCTGATTTTGGTGAATCATCACTTGAGCGCAAACATTTGCTAACCTGCTCATTAGGGGTCTGTTCCTCCATCTGAAACAGATTATGCGTACGTCGCTCAAGAATTTGGTGCAAAGCGGTTCATAAGGTATACCGCTTTCGAGGAGATAACTCAGTCGTTTCCTGGCTGCACCACCAAACCTTTTTTAGGTTCAGGTTTTTAGGTTCAGTCATTGGATCAGGAGTTGGAGAAGTGAGAAGCTCTCGCTCCTGATATAAATTTACAGGAGGTCAGTTGGAGTCGTAAGTACGACATCCATCTCCTCTGTAGACTCAGAAAGATTTTAATTTTACTCTGTCCATGAAAGTACCACGAGTAGCTGGGAAAAGAAGGTTAATCACGGCAGAGCCCCGCATTACCGTCCGTTCAACAGTTGTACTACCCCCCGACAACAAGGAGGCCGTGAATTTTTGTGTTTGGAGTGTCTGCATGACAGAATGGTGCTGCATACAGCCTGTAAAGTCGTCAGGAGTTCGGATCCCCTTCTCTGCATGGTTCGTGACCATGGGAGTAATTGGAACATTTCTCTTCAGGGCAGCTGTCCGAGCAGCTGATGAACTCGGTATAGTTTTTGAAACTGAACGAGGTGACTACAACTCTGTCACCGAGTTGGAACCTGTTCAGCAAAAAGCTCAGATGAAAGCCGCAGAGATCACCTTACTTCTGCGGAAACACAAGGATAGGCCAATGCATGAGGTCTTCTTCAATAACATTGGAGACCTTGGCTTATCAAAGCGCCTGACCTTCGCTTTTCTCAGGTCGAGTGGGCTGAAGTCTGAAACTGAGGGGTTCATTATGGTTTGCCGTGATGGTGTCCTCAACATCTTAGTCTACCGCAGTCGCGTGATGGGTAAAGAGGTACCTGATACAAGGTGCAGGGCCTGCCGCGAGGCGCCCAAGACTTTAATGCACTTGCTATCAGCATGTCCAGCATATGTGGTCTCGGCCTATATCAATCGACATAACGCGGCCCTAAGAGTGCTATATAACCATCTACGACACTCTTACGGTATTGACGAGACACCGGTGTTCCCCTACGCTCCGGGGGATATTGAATCCGTTGTGGGGAACGAGAAGTGCCAAATTTATTGGAACTATTCGTTCCCCACCCTCAGGCTCATACAAGCTAATGAACCTGATGTGATCTTTCTCGACCACCAGAGCAAAACGATATTTGTCATGGAGTTTTCAGCTCCTGGCGACACGAATATCGTCAGAAAAGAGGAGGAAAAACGGATAAAATATCGAGATTTTCTCTTCGAACTCCGTAGACTCTATCCAGATCACTCTGTCAAGATGATTGTTCTGATTATTGGAGTCCTTGGTGGAATGATGTCCTCTCTACTCTCGAATCTTAAGATCATACCGGCTTGCCGCACTAAGCCAGAAATCTTAGCCGCACAGATGAAGAAGGCTGTCATTCTTGGCTTACTGCGATTGCTCAGGGCACATGATTCTCGGACCCAATGATCACTTACCCCACGGTGTGGGGAGTGGTCATTGGTTGATAATGCTGGCGCTCCGTCCCGAATGTATCGGGGCTTCGGGGGATAGGGCCTGACCAGCGCACACTATGGTGAAAAAATAATAATAATAATAATAATAATGAGTTTATTGCTCATCAAAATACAAGATAATAACAAAAAACAAAATACAAAAGAGAGAAAAATAAAAACACTTTGTATTTGATTGGAAATGGCTTTTGGTTCAGACCGCGAATTTGCATTCGCGTATGCCCATTTTTAGTTGGGAGTGGAAGTGTAGAATCGTTATTCACATGAAAGTTGACAGAAATAGACCATCACTATAAGGATCACCTTCAACATTACAACAAAATTGTTTTTCGTCAGTATTTTTTCAGTAGCTCGATTGGTCGAAGGTAACCAGTGGATTGGATTGCAAGTTGACCTTATTCTGAACCGTTACTCTTTTTGATAATTCACCTCAAAACTACAACTTCACTGTAGATGGTCCATATCGACAGTTAATAACAGAATGTCAAAACATTACATTAAGAATGTCTGAAACCGCTTTGAACAAAATATCAATTACTGTGTGGAAGTAGAGTCAAATCATATCGAAAGTAAGTCGGTGAATATTTGAATGTTGGGGATGAAGGTTTTGGTCTTGCCTAGGTGAGAAACTATGCTCAGAACAATGACCATTTTTCCTCAAAAGATTTGTTTCAGTTGAAAGTTCATAAAAAATAGTTTTCTACGTCTTGACTTGCTATCAATTTCAGGCAACATTTTTTCTGGACATATGCAACATTAAATTTGGAAAAGTAAATAGGGCTGAAAAGACGAACCGATAACCATTATACTCGGAAATGAAAAAACTGAAAACAGGCTGCACATAAAAATTGACGGTTCTGAACAAGTGATTATTTTGTTCTCGTCGTCAGCTATGACATATGAAATTTGTTTCATTTTCGTTGGCCAGTGTGGAATTTTATATTAATATTCAGCTTACGCTCCATAAAGCTATTGTACGAAAACGATGAATGATTGCATTCGCTATGGAAACGATTGATGAAGTCATTGTATGACGAAACACGTGTTGAGTTAATGTCTAGTGTAAATCTCACAGTGAATTAAGCAAGGCATAATGGATTCCACTATCATTGGTTCACAGAAAAAAAATCGATATATGAAAAATCTGGTTTCCTTTCAGACGAATCGATCCCTCTACGAAACCTTTCTTCACTTGGAAGGATCGATCGCAGCTTGGAAGATGGTTCTTATGCAGATTATGTGAAACATGTTCTTCCTTACGAATCAGTAGAGAGTTGTCCTGAAATTTATGAGAAAAAAATTGGATTAGATGATTTAGAAAACACTTGCTACATGAATAGCATTTCACAAGTGTTGTTTATGACGAAAAATTTCAAGAACGAGGTTTCAGGGATGAACAAGAACGAGAATGATTCCTACTTATTCAACAAACTTAAACACCTGTTCATGCAGCTGCAGTTTCGTAGGAATATATCATCTTTCCCTCCAACCTATTTCCTGGAGTCTTTAAAGTTCACTAGATACTCGTTAGGACAACAGGAGAATTGTTCTGAATTCTTGGGATTCTTGTTGAATACTCTTCGTGGGCGAAACAATATCAAAATCAATACTTCAGGCCGCTCTGGATTGAATGATTCCGTACAGTCTACTACTTTGTAGTACATGTTCAAGAGGTAGCAAAAACGTATGTGAATTTCTGGAACTTCAACTAGCGTTTCCTAATATGACTAATAACCAGTCCGTGCAAAGATTATTGTTGAATCATCTGGAAATGGAATTTTTAACAGGTTATGATCGACTGTATTGCCAAACATGCGCCAAACTAACTGACTGTTATTAGGAAACAAGTATAGGTGAGGCACTAGTCAATCTAATAATAACATTGATGATTTTCAAACAAGACTCAACCTCTAACGGAAGCAAGAAACTCTTTGGAAGGTTCGAAATAGATGAACATTTCAACCTAGCAGACCACTATTATAATATTCACGCAGTCATTGCTCACTGTGGTTCTGGCGTTGAATTTGGTCATTATCACACCTTGGTCAAAGAAGAAACGGACTTTAAGTTTGACGATAGTCGTGTCACTAAGTGTTCTGGCGATGTATTGAATTCATTGGAACCTCTGGAGACACCCTACATTTCGTTTTATGAGAGAGAGGACATTGGTAGAGCAATATCTTCAGATGATGTGGTGCTGCAGGTTTTTCCGGGTTTTTCTGCAGCTGAAAAAGCAAATGCGCCACTGGAATCAATGATGTCGCCCCGGGGCTCCAATTAATTTTCATTGTTATTTTTTTCTGAAAAAATTACTATTGATAATACTAACTAATCAAATAATTTTTCTACTCACGTATCACATTCAATCTTTCAATATGATATATCAATATGTCAACATTATTGATAACGTTTCAATATACTTGAGCTACGGTTAAGTACATGCTTTTTTTCTACTCTTTTTATCTATTTTATATATTTTTTTTAGAAATATGGAAACGAAAATTTCAAGACTACAAAGGAAGATTTGATATTCTGGAGAAACTACGTGTAGATGAATCACTTAGGCCGACCCCTTTAGTCAATGACGATGTTTTGGGATATTACGGAAACTTCAAGAAAGTCAACGTAGATTGAATCGAAGGAATGGATATAAAACATAATCCTCCAAATGAGAAGAAGATTCATTTGGGTTTGTCACATGGTGATCCAGTTAATATGAATGTATTTATTATTTTAAAAAAAATTTATAAAAATGTACTTATTATCAAAAATTGACATTTCAGGATAGTTTTTCTCATGAACTTCTTTACTTTTCATTAGATAGAAAAAGAGAGACGACGTTAAACTCGAAATTAAATAAAATTGCATAGCTAGCTGCATATGGAAAGAAGTATGAAATAATAAATTCTATCTTGTCATTCATGAATTGTTACTAGAACGGTAACTCTAAAAGATACGATGTTGGCTGAATTATACAAATGATGTACCTACTTTTCAGAATTCAAAAGATTCATGTTGGAGAATCCAGACTATCGCGAATCGTTCTCGAATTAATCGAAAACAATTGAGCGTTTCGTATTATATATGGAGTTGGGAAAATATAGTATGAATGTAAATTTGTCAATTTCTCAGAAACTAAAGTTGTTTCAGTGGAACTTTTGTTTTGGTGATTTTGGGTTGACACAATCTATTGGCTCAGAAATGGAGATGAATATCAATAATAAGAATAATAAATGACATTGACATTGATTGTTCATAAAGAAAAAGTGGATACAAAAAACAATGAAAGGGCGAAGTGCCGAGGCTGTTTTACAACTCAACCTAGGGGATAGCCTGTACTATATAGAAATATAAAAATGATTACCTAGTATACAGTGGTAAGTGAGTAGTTCATAAATCTTTGTGAAACTAAGAAAAAAACAGAGGTTATGAATTCCAAAGTGAATATTAAAAAACTATTTAGTTTAAATACGGTAAAATATATAGCAAAACATACACAAAAGTGAAACAAAGGGAAATCATATGAGGAAGGCATAACATGAATATATTATTCATCCAGGAGACTTCAGATACTTCAACTTTTTTTTAAAATTATATATGTAGTAGTGTCTGAATTCACTGGGCAGAGCGTTATATTGTTTGATAGAGTTGTAAATAAAACTTCGAGAAAAGCAGGCTGTCGAGTGTTTTGGAATAATAAAAGTGTGACGGTTTCGTGAACTCGAATTATTCTGAGATTCGAAAGTTTTATATCTTTTATATATATAATTCGGCTTTTTGTAAATTAGGAATTTATGTGTATTGACGAGTAGGTGGAACTGTCAGGTTTTAGCAATCGGTAACCAACCTGACTCCTCGAACTTGGGGGATATATGGTCAAATTTTCTCTCATCATAAGAAAGACGAACGCAATTGTTTTGTATTTTTTGTAAGCTATTTACATCAATGTGTATCAAAGCAGGTCCGTAGATTATCGCAATATGCTAATCTAGACAATATGAGGGTTTCGCAAAGTTTCAACTTCAATTTGGAAGTCATAATATCTCTACTTTGATAGAGTTGACGTAAGATACCTTATGAGCTACGACAAAGTGAATTTATATGTTTGTGAAATCTTAAATCAGCATCCAGCTACAAATTATTGTTTGTAGTAGGATGTAATTATTTGTAGTAGGTCTTGTCCAAGTTGGATTTAAATTCTTCCTTCAATTTCCCACCTTTTGTGTTTCGGGTCAAAAAGTATCAGCTGAGATTTTTTAGAATTCAATTTCGGGTTATGGGCTATAGATAGATCCAGTAACTTTTGTAGATCGCTGTACATTATTTACATTGCCACCTGCCAGTTACTTGGAGAAAATCGATAATATAACATCTGCATAATGATGAACTGTGCAATGATTTATTGATCATTGCAGATATATACAGCGTGACTCACGGTCTATGGTAGGTTAGACGATTCTGGAAAACGCAAAACATGATTTTTCTGAAAATTTCACTTCTCACATTTCCTTACCTGTTCTATCGATCTGAAATATTTTCAGCATTGCGGCGTTGCCACTTCCATCAAAAAGTCCTAGCAACTTTATTTTTTTGAATTGAACAGCACATATATTAATACATTTTTGGAATTGCTTTGGTATTTTATTACTTTTTTGTTGATAATGTCCTATACCTATCTCTATCTGTTTTCGAGATGAAAAATGAATTGTGCTAAATATGGTCCAAAACATAGCCTTAGTTGAAATTAAGTACATCAGTACTCTCAATTCATGAAAAGTTGATATTTTGATGATAATTCGGACAAACTGGAGGTATTCAAATAACACCAGTAAATCGACTCCATATCATACAGGGCGTGCTAAAATTACTATTATTTCCATTGTGCATAAAAGTAGTCAAAAGTTCATTTTTTCGAATGAAACCCCCTGTATATTACTCGATAAATTGAAAGATGGTGAAAAATGCTTCAAGATGATACATCATATCTATATACTTAAATCGTCAAATTTTCTCAATAAAGTCGCTTCTTCTAGAAACATTATTTTTTTTTAGAATTTGGATTTAGGTATTGACAAAAGTTCCCGATCCTCCTGTGTATGAATCGAAAGGGATTCACAACAATGCATTCTACGTTCGAAGTCTTCTGCTTTTAGAGCTTGAACTTTGGTAAATTTATACGGATGCATTCCGTGATTTTTCAAAATTCGTTGTACTGAAGCATACACCTAAATATTTTTCTGCACTGCGAATGGAAGCTTCTGGATATGCATAAAAATATGCCAAAACGTTAACAGTATTGTCCTCATTTGAAGTAACATGTTTTGGTAATGTTGAAGGCGCTTTTAATAAGGATCCATAGTTAAGGAAATTATTTTGTAATCTTACAAACTTTCTCTCGTTCATTGGTGTTAATTCAGGATACATTTATCAATTACTTATAAAAGTCACCAAACTATTATAAGCTTGATTTTTCCACGGCTACCTAGAAATCAAATTCTTCAAAAATTATTTTTTTTACAACTGTCATTGAAAATCTCTCCAATCAGAACACCTACCAAAAAATCATTAAGAAAAATCATTGAATCCCAGTGAAGTTACTGACGATGACGAAGTAGTATTCAGTCCAACTGTAGAAAGTCCTTCATGACTAACCAATAATTCTCCTTAAAATAACGTGAGTTGGCGTATGTAGTTGTAACATATGCCTTGTTATCCAAAGATCGTGTGTTCAAATCTCATGGACCCTATAATTTTTTTTAATTATCAGCAGTAACGTTATACAAAAAAATGTGTATGATACATTTGTTGAAAGTGATTTTATTTTGCTTGTGAGTTTGCTCCACTTGCTGACGCTCGTTTTGCAATAATCCCCACTCACAAAATAAAATACCACTTTCAACACTTGTAGGTAAAACGAGAATAACTATTTTTCCACAAAAACGGCTTTATTAGGAAAACTTGACGATTTCTTTCTTTCTTGTAGCATTTTTCACCATCTTTCAATTTATCGAGTAATATACAGGGTGTTTCATTTGAAAAAATGAACTTTCTACTAGTTTTATGCACAATGGAAATAATAGTAGTTTTAGCACGCCCTGTATGATATGGAGTCGATTTCTTGGTGTAATTTGAATATTTCGAGATTGTCCAAACTATCATCAAAATATCAAATTTTCATGAATTGAGAGTACTGTTGTAGGTACTTAATTTCAATTAAGGCTATGTTTTGGACCATAGTTAGCACAATTTATTTTTTATCTCGAAAACAGATAGAGATGGGTATAGGACATTATCAACAAAAAAGTATTGAAATACTAGAGCGATTCCAAAAATGTATTAATATACGGGGTGTTCCATTTAAAAAAATATAATTGCTAGGACTTTCTGATAGAAGTGGCAACGCCACAATGCTGAAAATATTTTAGATCGATAAAACAGGTAAGGATATGTGAGAGATGAAATTTCCAGAAAAATCATGCTTTGCGTGTTCCAGAAACGTCTAACCTGCCATCGACCGTGAGTCACGCTGTATAGAGAGAACAGATACAAGGATAGAGCCCTGAGGTACTCCATAGTTAACAGTCCAGACATACTGTCTGAGTCCGATTTCTGAGGTAACTTTTCAATAGATCTACAGTCCCTTCACTAAATCCGGGAAATGACATTTTCCTACACAGAATATTGTGGTCTAATGTATCGAATGCTTTACTGTAGTCCAAGAGTACGATGGCAGTTTTACTTTTGGTGTTACTCGAAGAGATTGGGGATAGATACTGACCCTCCACAACCTACCTGATGAAACAAGACACCGCTGTGATGGATGGAAAACAATCATCTTGGTATTTTGGTTCACTAGGTCAGCTACTTTGGAACAAACAAAAAACAATACTATTCTACTGAAGAGAAAAATTTGGCAAAAGATGGTACTACAGAAGTATGAAAAAATTCGTCATGCCGCCCTCATAGTTCGAAAGTAACCAGATGATATGAAACTATTGCCTTATCTTGAATCGATCACATGTACAGGTTGGTACAGGAGATTAATTGAGAAAGTTGAGGAGTGCTTCAATGAAGTATAGTAATAGCCTTCTGTAGCAGAAGCAAAAGAAATATGAGTCAGACATACAGAGAAGTATTATGATTTCTCAGTATGATTCGATTGTAGATGGTATATGGGTAATACCTGTTGGTTGTTGAAAACTTTTGCGGTTAATGTGGTTCATATAGATATCCCACATGATTTTCATTATTATTTCATTCGAGTCGTCGATGATAGTGCAATTAGTTGGGAATTTCCTGAAATGCAAATAATATAACAAAAAGATTTTAAAACATTCACAATCAGAGTCGCTTGAATGGAAACGGTCATTGGAAACTTCATTGTTATTATTGAATGTGTTCAAATTCTCAGTATACAATAGCGACAAGAGAAATCCCCAGAACTCTGTTGAAATTCGCCAAGTTTTTGAAGGTCAATTTTAAATTCATTCTATACAAAATTGGTGACTGAATTGGAGTGCTGTTCTTGTGTGAAACCTGGTTAGTGTTAAACAACGGGATCAATACATTTCAGTATAGGATACAAAGTAAGTGTTCACATTTTTTTCCAATAATACATCTGGAAGAGTAGGAAAATATTTCAATAAGACCTGAATGATTATAAGAACATGAATCTGAAAGTGATGTTTAGTGTTTGATTGAATTTTGATTTCAATTGAATAGAACTGGGCGATACTTGATCAGAATCCATATTAAAACTCATAAATACGAAATCTGGAAAGCTGAAAAAACACCTAAAAGATTGTAGGGAGGTATAAATGATTACACGAATAATTATCGAAATAGTCACGAAAATATCAGGAAAATAAAATTAAATGACAATTCTGAAATTACAGATTCACTTGTAATAGCTGAGCAAATGAATAATTATTTATTTTTCACATGTAGGGCAACAATTAAGAGAAAAAACCACATATCCAATTGAAGAGCAGAAATTTGAATATTTGAATAAATCTTTTCTCTTAAAACCAACTGATAAAGAGGAACTGAGAGCTATGTGTTTGACCTTAAAAAAGGGGAAAGCACCTGGACAGGATAATATAAAAAATGAAATAATCAAACTTTCATCTGATTATATATCAGAACCACTTTCCTATATCTTTAATTCATGTAAAGAAACTGGTAAAGTACCAAAGCATTTCAAAAGTGCTACTATTAAACCATTATACAAAGGAGGAGAAAGAACATGTGTATCAAATTATCGACCAATATACTTAACTTCATCCTTTGCCAAATTATTCGAGAAAATCATAAAAAATAGATTAGTGAAGTATTTGAACCAGAATAACATTATTACAGATACACAATATCGTTTTCGTGAAAGCAAAAGCATCCAAGACGCCATTGCAAAACTTACTTGCATGATATATAATGCTGTTGATAGCAAGAAAAGTTGTTTGGGTGTTTTCATAGATCTGGCAAAGGCTTTCGACACGGTTAGTCACGAGCTTTTGCTAGAAAAATTGGAACATCTTGGTGTGAGAAGAGTGGTGTTGGATTTGTTTAGAAATTTCCTAACAGGTAGAAAACAGCGGGTTGAAGTTAATGGAGTCGTGAGTTCAGAGGAATCAGTTTTATGTGGTGTTCCTCAGGGTACGGTCTTAGGACTGGTTCTATTCATAATTTACTTGAACTCCTTACTGAAACTGAAGTCGTCCGGACGCATTTTTTCACTTGCTGATGACACGGTGATTTTATATACAGCAAATTCATGTGGTGAAGTTAAGAGAATTGCAGAGCAAGATATGCAAAAGTAACAACATGGTTTAAAAGTAATTTATTGACGGTAAATGTGGATAAAACAAATATATTACAATTCACATCATACGAATCATATTTACCCAGATGCAGAACAATAAGTTTGGACAACTACGATGTAGAACTCACAACATCTGTAGAGTATCTAGGGATCTTTTTAGATTCCTCCTTGGAATGGAATATTTATATTGAAATCCTAAAAAGGAGAATAAGATCAATGCTCTATAAATTTTACTTATGTCGTCAAATACTTACTACCAATTAGCTAAAGACCATATATTCTGCTCTGGTCGAATCTCTGTTGAGTTACGGAATAGTTGAGTGGGGCGGTGTTAGGAAGATTCACCTAAAACAATTGGAAGTTGTACAAAAAGCAATACTCAAAATAATGTTATCTAAAAAAAGAACCTTTCCAACTGATTAATTATATAGGGATTTAGTAATCATGGATATTCGACAATTATATGTAAAATATATTTTGAATTTTGCATTAAATAACCAGACATATTTTGAAAAATTACATCATACTCACCGAACAAGGGCATCGATTTCGGATTATTTCAAAATTCCAAGAGCACAGAAAGCTGTTGGGCATAGAACTTTTACCTATCTAGTACCTGAAATATACAACACATTGCCAGATAGTACAAGAATTATTTATAGCAAACATATATTTAAGAAGAACATTAAAGAGTGGATTCCCAAAACGGATAGAACCTTTTTTCATGTGATAATTGATCCTTAGTAAAGAAAACAACTTGAGTTGACGCAATTAACACATATCTCAGATAGAACAGTGTTTCGAACTGATTAATAAAAATTCCATTTCAAAATTTGATTCGCTAGCAGTATTCATTAATTAAATTATCTAATTATACTCGTTCTGCTTGTGCGTAGTTGTCATAGACAGGTTCGCCAGAACCTAAATGACTGAACTATTTTATTTGCAAATCTGTAAATGATTGAAATTTAGTAAAACAAAAAAAATTAATGTACCTATAATCAATCATAATCAATCAATGACTGCTAGTTTGCATTCCAATTCTTCAATAGCTCGAATTAAAAAACGTATATACTTGCAAGGAACATTTTGTATAGAAAACTTAAAAAAATATGTATGTTGCCTATGAAAATATTTCAATTTCATCTAACTGTTTTGATTTCTGTTTTTTACATAGGTTCTAAAATTGAAGATATTGGACATGGGTACCAAATTTGAATATTTCGAAAACCTTTCAAATGTACTCAAAAAGGGGCTGGAAGCCAACGATAAGACGGAAGAAAATTTGAATGAAGATATCAACATTTTAAAACGATGGGTGGCAAGTCAACCGCATCTACCTGAAATTCCTAGTAAGTAATTCAATCAAAATTTGTAATTGACTTCAAAGTTGGATAAGTAAGGACCTGAAAAATCGTCTCACATATTTGTGACTCACTTTGGGTTATCAAATGAGATGATTGATGAACTATTTTGTGTATCAATTTGTGAAGAAAAAAAAATGGAAATATGTATGAAAATACAAATTTTGACATGAAAAGATTGTCCCAATCAGTTGAAGATTCATTATAAAATTATGAAATATCTGATTTCATTTTTTGAATGGGAAAGTCATGTCTAACTCGAACTGAGATTCAGATTCAATAAAAATACTAGTCGCAATCGACACCTCCTGCTCAAATCAAAATTCGACTCTTCATACTCCTAGTTTTTTATACAGTGTGTCCCAGCTGAAACTTGTCACCCTCCTAATCTGTGAACTAATTATTATTTATGGTCGTGAAATGGAGTATGCAACCATAATACTGATAATATTTTTTTGCAGATGATCATATGATGACGTGCTTCCTTATCATGAATAAATTCAGTATCGAGAACGCCAAACAAAAAATCGATATGTATTACACAATGCGAACTCTTTTTCCAGAGTTTTTTTTAGATAAGCACCCCCTTTCGCCACACATTCAGAATACGATGAATGATCTGTAAGTATTTTCCCATATGTATCCAAATGAAACTATATAAGGCTAGCCGTACACTGGCAGTGGCATTCAAAATTATGTTGAGATATTCATTCTTTAATTATCTGAATATCTCAGTCTCATAATGATAGTATTCGTGCAATACTAGCTTTTACCAAGGCTTCAGTTTTACCAAATTTCCTAACTGTATTTTCTCATGTATTCGCCTATATAGATAATCATTCTCTTATTGTATGAATATTCCAGTCTCATGAAGACAGTACTAATATTCATGCATAACTAGCTGTGGTAGCACATTTTCTCACTGCAAAAAGTGTTCATGTATTCGCCTATTATTCGCCTATATGGATATTCATTCTTTTATTGTATGTATATTCCAGTCTCATGACGACAGTTCTAATATTCGTGCATAACTAGCTATTGCCGAGACTTCAGTTTTTACCAGATTTTCTAACTGCGAAAGATTTTCTTGTATTCGCCTATTATTCGCCTATATAGATATTCATTCTTTTATTGTATGAATATTCCAATCTCATGAAGACAGTACTCATATTCGTGCAATACTAGCTATTGCCGTTACTTCAGATTTCACCAGATTTTCTAACTGCGAAAGGTTTTTTGTATTCGCCTTTTATTCGCCTATATAGATAATCATTCTTTTATTGTATGAATATTCCAGTCTCATGAAGACAGTACTTATATTCGTGCAATACTAGCTATTGCCGAGACTTCAGTTTTTACTAGATTTTCTAACTGCAAAAGGTTTTCATGTATTCGCCTATTATTCGCGTATATAGATATCCATTCCCTTATTGTATAAATATTCCAGTCTCATGAAGACAGTACTAATATTCGTGTATAACTAGCTATTGCCCAGACTTCAGTTTTTACCAGATTTTCCAACTGCAAAAGGTTTTCATATATTCGCCTATGTTCAGTTTTTTAGTAATTAATTTACAAACTAACAACCAGGCTGAAAATTCCCGAACCAAAGAGAGAAAACGCGTTTTTTTTGTTGAAAATTGGCTTCATCCATCAACGTAATCTCCACACCAAGTGCCACACAATCATTCCAGGGCCGCTTCAACATTTCAATACCACTTTTGTATAACGATTTATACTTTGCCTAAAAATTGGCTTCAGTTTCAACAATAATCTTCATTCGAGTGAATTTTTTTCACCGGTGATCATTTTTTTGAGGTCTGCGTACAGAAAAAAGTCGCTGGAGGCCAGACTTAGAGAATAAGATGGATGCGAAAGCAATTCGGAACTCAGTTGATAGAATTTTGTAATTATTATGATTACCAAGTGACACGCTGCGTTGTCTTGATGAAACACATATTTTTTCTTTGCCGTAGGTGATCATTTCCTTGCAATTTCGACCTTCAAACCCTTCAATAATGCTAAATAATATTCTTGATAGTCGATTGATATTACACCACGCACATTCCAAAATACTGGGGCCATAACCTTTCCAGCCGATTGTTGTGCTTTCGGGCGCTTTGGACGATGTTTACCAATTGATCTTCACTCAGATGACCATCGTTTTGATTCTGGAGTGAAGTGATGGATCAATGTTTCATCGATTGTCACATATCGACGCAAAAGTCCCGGTTTGTTATGTTTGAACATGGCCAGACACTGCTCAGAATAATCAAGACGTTCTTGGTTGTGGTCAAAAGTGAGCTCGCATGGTTCCCACTTTGAACAGAGCTTTTTCATAGTCAAATGCTCATCCAATATGAAGCCATTAGGTTTTTTTGATATTTTTATAATGTCAGCTAACTCACGCAATTTCAATTTTCGATCATTGAAAACGATGTTGTGGAGTTTTTTTATGTTTTGTGGTGTTACTGCTTCATTTGGACGTCCAGAGTGTTCTGCAGCATCGGTGTCCCTATGACCACGTTTGAAGTTATCAAACCAAGCCATTGCTCCGCTTGAACGTTTTTTTCCCTATCAAGAAGCATTGTAAAATCAAAACACGAAATTGTTTTTGATCCATTGTTTTGAAAATAACAAAAGTAGTGTCACTCTTAGCACAATAACGCACAAACTTATGAGTAGAATATCATTAACATTAGTTCGGACTTCCATTATCTGATATGATATAAATTGATTTTGAATAACTGAAAAAATCTGTAAAAAATTAAAAAGATTAGTTGAAAAAAATGACAATTTTATTGAGCAGAAAACTGAAATTACAATGAAATAACATACAAGCAACAATCAAAATAAAAATAAAATTGAATCATCAACACGAGCTGAAATTCAACAAAATATCAACAAGAAATGAAAATTAAAAATTGAAAGATTCTAACCAAGTTATTTCACGACGTTTCGATTGTTAGTATCCACAATCGTATTCGGATGATAACTGGACTAAATTCTCCGAGATTTGACTATTTATAGGTCATTCGAGTGCTTTCACCTATCCTCTTCTCCCTCTCTCCGCTTCATTGGATTTAGCGGGAGCTGACCGTTTGGCGGGAGTTGGTCGTGCTCCGCTAGATTAGAGGTTTTCATACGTTACGTATATCTACGTTAGCTTGGCTGAATGCGTTGTTAGACAACATATATGCGGCTTCTTTGAATTCTCTCCTTAAACAGTGTTCCTCCTTGTGGATGATTTCAGCTTGAGCCCACTTGATGTTATGTTGATGAGTCCAAAAATGCTCTGGTTTCTCTTCGCTGTGTGTGTTTCTTGTGTTCGGCAATGCGAACTCTCAATGGACTCTTAGTTTCACCGATATTTGATTCTCCGCACTCGCAGGGTATCCGGTAAATGCAATTCTTGGAATCTCAGTCCGCGTTTGGTGGCCTGGTTTCCGTGAAGTTGCTACGGATAGTGTTCCCAGATCTGAAGTAGGTTCTGATGTTACGCTTGGGCCCCATTCTTCTTATTTGTTCCGACAATCCTCTGATGTAGGAAAGTACAAGTACTGGATGTGGCAACTTCTCCTCCTTGTGGAGCTCTTGCTGTCTTCTAACTGAAGCCTGTTCCACCATCACATTGAAGTAATCATTCCGTTGAAGGTCATTTTTGATGATGCCTAGTTCCTTTTCGAAACCTTCCTTTGTATTACAGAGCCCGAAAACACGATCTAGTAGAATCTTGATGATTCCTCTTTCAGTCGATAGATGGTGGTTGGATTCCTGGTTCAGATACTGTCCCGTGTGAGTGGGTTTTCGATATACAGATGTTTCTCATTTGGTGCCGGCCCTCTTCACCAATACGTCTAAGACAGGCAATTCGTTGTGGACTTCCTTCTCCTTTGTGAAAGTGTTGATGTGCTTCAGAAAAATGTCTAGTTCTGCATTTCCATGGTCCCATATTATGAAGGTGTCATCCACGTATCTCAACCAGACTCAGGGCTTCTTGTGGACTCCTTCAATAGCCAGAGTTTCAAACCACTCCATAAGCTCAGTGTGGTGCGGTTTTAGCGATGATTTCTCTTTTTTCGAAAAGTAGACTTGGTGTTTTTTCAAAGTCTGGTACAACTTTCTTTCAATTGGTGCAGTAGGGTCTCTTAAGAGAACTAATCTTTTTAATTTTCTACAGGTTCTTTGAGGGATTTCAAATCAATTTATATCATATTGGACAATGGAAGTCCTAACTAATGGAATGCACCACGAGACATTGTCAACCACCTCCAAACAAAAGAATATCTTTAATTTTCAACAGCTTCCTTTTGGAGTTTAGTACTAATTGAAAAAGCAGTGAATGCAATAAGACTAGCGCTATTTATGTGTTAGGCCCATGTAGTAGCAACCAAACCAAAACATAAACTCACAGACAAGTAGACAATCACTAGTTAGCTACAAATGTGTTACATGTATTGATTTGCTTTGAGAATCAAATTATATCGTTTTTGCACTCAGCAATATGAATTTTGTCACATGATGCCAAGACTATAATCTCAAAATGAAGAGAAACAGAATATCACCAGAAACCTTAGGATAAGACGACAAATTCGTTCGAAAAGTTTGTTGTGATGAGACGGGAACGAGAGGAAACCAAAAATTTCATCATTTGATATTTATACGTGTTGGAAAAATTCACCTGTGATACCCTGTGATAAAACAGTTCTCTGTTGCCACCGAAACAAGATTCACTTTCTGATTAGAGACGGCTCTCACGGCTGTTTGCAAACAGATGAGTCTTTCAAAATATCAATCTTATTTTACTTCGATAATTTCAGGTGTTTCATCCCATTACCAAAAGCCACTGATGAAGGTTATCGTGTAACGATAATCCAGGCATTCCATGACAATACTGAAAATTTCGATATCTGCAACTATTTTTCACTCACTTATAGTATCACTGAAGTCAGATTTCAAGAGGATTATCCAGTAGGTGATGTTATCATCTATGACTTCTCAAATCTACGGATGGGGCACTTGGTTCAATTCACCCCCACCATCATGAAGAAAACTGCTGCCATATTGGAGGTAATATGTCATTTCATGAATTTAGGACACATACACAAGATTTCATATTCTGATGAAAAGTTTGATGGATGATTTACAATGGAAAAAACAAAAAAATGTGAGAAACTTCCATAGTGGTTTTTGTATAATTCAATGTTAACATGAAAGTAGTTGTTTCCAAAACTATTTTCCTTTCATGTATTTGAATTTTCATGTAGAAGCAGTTGTTTAGCGAGGGTTTTCTTTCAGTTTGTATCCGAAATACGTTTCAATACATCTGTGTACTCTCTACTGTGGTTATATTCTTTCTTCTACCAAAGAAGTATCCTATATTCTTTGGTTGATGAACGACTAGACAGCAAAAAAGTTTTCTCTTCTGAGAAACTAATATTCATACTGAAAATATTCCTCCTTCGATTTATATGAAAGTTCAGCTGAGATTGAATTAAATAACCGTATACATGTTATTACAAACTGTAATAGCGAGAGGAGCAGAGTTGACATGAATTTGTAAAGTTATAGAACAAAAGAGTGAATCGTGTAAAATATTGAAACGACACAGAAAGGGAGATGAGACAAGTGTTTCATCCCGGAACTTCGAAGTACATCATTGAGGATGAGTATATTTCGTATAAGTGAAAAAACGATAATTGAAAATACAAAAAAATAATAATACATAATAATTTGGTATCACCTTAATGGCCTCTTGAATGGTCTAATAGATTGAAGAGAATAAGACTGTTAGAAGACTTTACATTTCCAGGTAGACTGTCATAATTATTAAATCCTTTAAAAATTAATATTTTAGCGTTGAACGTTTTTGTTTGATTATTTACATACAAATTATTTTTTATTCCAGATTATTTTTTATTCTAAAATTATACTGATGAAATTGATTATCAAAAATTAAGGTTGTGCAATATAATAAATCGTCGTTAAATATGTAAGCCTACTTCCAGGGCCGTAGAGAAAAGAAATACCAGGGGGGGTGGGAATCCAAATTTTCCCAACCCCACCAGCAAAATTTCCCAACCCCACCAGCAAAATTTCCCAACTTTCGAATAAATGAAAGCCAAGGGATTAGTTACTACTATAATATTGCAACGTTTATTTCTCTCAGTTGGAAATAAAGTGCAGCTCCGGCAGCTGTTCGTCTTGGTGAGCAAAAATTAAGGTCGACGGCATTTGAGTGTACATCTGATTGAGAAGAGTACAAAATTATGTAATGGGCGCCATCTGGCTAAATGCAATAATCAGAGTTCAAAGTTCGCCCTGCCAGGGTGACAAACTACATTATGAATTGAAAAAATATTGCATTCGATTGAACAACCTGAAAATATAAACGAGAGCAAACAATTACTATTCTGAGTCCAATTAATCGGCTATAATCAAAGTTCTTGTTCAGAAATACAGACAGATATCACTAATGTTTTATCCTGAAGGATCAATACCATTTTTTAATTTTTTGCACAGATATCCACCTTGCGATCACCCAGTACTGTGTGTTAGCTCACAAATCATATAAATTTATAATTTCATGAATTTAAGGTAAATGATAAAATTAAGAAAATTAAATTTATTTTAAAGTAATATATCTGACCTGTTACTCCTGGACAAGCGACTCTGATGAACATAAAATCACCCCACTGGAGGAGGTTTAAAAACTCAAAAAAATAAACGGAAGACTTTTTATTCCTCACAATTCGGAAGTAGAGATACCACAACTTCAACTTCACTTATGGAATAAAAAAGGAAGCAGGTAGTACACAAAAAACTACCAAGAGTCGTTTTAATCATCATATATGATTCAACTTCAAGAGGAATATCTTATGGAGGAGTGTTCAAATCGACAAATGGAACTTATCGGTTCAGAACGCTATTTATTGAAGGCTCGTGATTTTTCCAAAACACATTCGCATCCACTGTTCATGAATTCGCCTTGGATTCTGTTCTAGTGATCATCTACGTACTATTCGCATTTGCGCAGATAGCGGCGGGACGAATATCAGGGTGCCATCTCTGGGAGATACAGTTGGCATATGGACTTTTGAAATTTGAATATGAAAAGATCAGACTCAAAAAAAAATATGATCAGAGGCGTAATCACCAGCGATGACCAGGATAAGAAATAGAGGAATTGATATCTATAGACAAGAGAAGCCATTCCAAATCAAAATATACTGAAATATTAACAGCTGATTTTGTTTAACTAATTCGATTTCTGTCAATCACTGATTGACACCATCATCTTTGAATTGTTATCATAAATAAAAAACAAAATTCTGACTGTATTTATAACTGGAATATTTTTCGTGAATAAAAATTAAACTAATGATTTTGATTCATTATTTATAAAAGGAAGATTCATTGGAAATCACGTTGAATAGGCAATCAACATTGCATTCAAAAATTGTATCGTTAGTCTGGACTGTGTTTGAACCTTTCTGAGCGCTATCCATTCTTGAAAAGTTGAACATTAACTTTTCTTATCAAATTTTGTGTTGAACCTCAAGTAATCTTCAAAATGTTAAAATAGTAGCATTTTCGAATGCTACAATATAATAATTTTCTTACTTAGCTATTCAAAGATTGGATGAATGCTTATGCCCGTTAGGGTATGCACAAACAAAAATAAATTTTGGTAATCATAAAAATAATAATGGGAATTATTGTACTTTGGACCAAGGTCGTTGGTCTACCACCATATCCACCATGTATAGGAATATTCAATACAAATGAAAGGAAACAACACTCAAATAATATTGTGCTTATTGTTTTCCACTATTATTTTTTCTATCTTCCCGGTCCGAAATTTCCCAACTTTTCCAAGTTGAAAAAACAGCGAAAAGTTGGGAATTTTGTAAAATTGTCACTTCAAAATTTGTGGATTGTTCAGGACTGTTCTCTTAAATTATAAAACAACAATAAAAATTAATTGACGCTCCGGAGCGACTTCATTGGTTCCAGTGGCGCATTTACTTTTTCAGCTGCAGGAAAACCTAGAAAAACCTGCAGCACCACATCATCTGGAGTTCTTGATCTGCCAATGTCCTCTCTCTCATTTAACAAAATATAGGGTGCCTCTAGAGGTTCCAATAAATTCAATACATTGCCAGAACACTTCGTGACACGACTATCGTCAAACTTGAACCAGTCCGTTTCTTTTTTCACCAAGGCGTAATAATGACCAAATTCAACGCCAGAACTACAATGAACAATGGTCAGCTACAGTATTTAACATTGAAGATATATGGGTACTCCTGTTACATCTCAAAATAATCCTCATTGCGCGATTCTGTATCACTTGTGTATAGAAGAGTGGAACAATATTCGAAATGTGGTTGTATAATGGTGTTATATACAGTTATCCGTGATTGCACAGTTGAGTGTTGGGACACTCTTTTGAAAAAATATAATTTCTTCAAAAATGTCTTCTGTATGTAAGGTAAATGATTATTCATTGATAGATGCTTGTCCAACATGAATCCTAGGTATTAGAATTCAGTAATGAGCTCAATTTTGTCATTTTCTATTTTCATTTCAATTCGATTCAAATTCAATTCTCTGTACTCAAACGGTATAGTTAGTATCATAGCCTTTGTTTTGTTGACATTTAGCTTGAATTTATTAGTTTTTAAATATTCAGCAATATTATTCAATGATTCATTCATTTTTTGAATAGCTTTATCAATATCTTCACCACTAAGTGATACTAGGGCATCATCAGCATAAGGTGCATAATCACATTCATTACATTTGCTGATATCTTCAATGTAAATTAAGAATAGCAATGGCCCTGCGGAACCCTGTGGTCTACGCTTATTGCTGCTGAGACAAACTATTTGAATTTGGTTACCTGCTTCTTTCCTGTAAGGTAATCACTGATCCAATCCAGTACTTTTCCTTAAATTTCAATTTAATCAATAATTTAAGATTAATCGTTTCAAACGCACGTTTAAGATCCAAAACCAGATTGATTTGTGAAAAGTATGTTTTTTTAATTGAAATATTCCAACAGTTGTTGATATACTATTGATTCTAACAGTTTTTCAGCGCAAGGTGTAAAGTGTTGATTGGCCAATATTCATCAGATTTTTTTGTGTTTGGAACTTTTTCGTTTTTAGATCATCTGGAAAACTACTATTTTGTATCGAGTTGTTCACAAATTGACACCACACATGTGGAAGTAGTTACATTTGTGAAGGGTATTGTTTCTTCCCATCTTCGAAAGTTGTATACATTTTTTGTTGAATGACGGTTGAAGGTCGAAGAGCTATTTTACTCTTTTTTTAAAAAATTATTCTCTTTCGAAAACATCCATTAAGCATTTTGAAGGAGATGATTTTCGAAAAATATGAACATTTTTAATAATGAGATGAGTTGGGAAAGTAAATTCGTAAAAATTTTTATCCCTCACGATAATTATGATATTTTCACAATGAATTATTCATTTGAGTATTTGAAGTTTATCTAGTAATATTGTATTATAATGGTTTTTTTGAAATCTTCCTGTTTCATCACGCTAATCATTTATGCAATTGAGTTCTGTGAGAACTTACTGTTTTGATTCACCATTCGAATTGATAAAGCTATCGTATAGCGAAACGCATCTTGAATGAAATTTATTGTGAAAATTCTATGATTATTATCATAGATGGTGTAACTGAATCTCATCAATTAACGGGTCAGTTTAGTTATGATATGATCAAATTATTATCATCTCTCGCAAATTGATTCATCCCCTCAAATGTGTTTCAAATTTATTTCTGAATTTCAATTCTGAATTCCGTTTTATTCCAGAAAACATTTAATAATAATATCAAGCAAGTACACTGTGTTAATTATCCAAGTTTTGCAGAACCTGTGATAAATCTATCTATGAAGATGGTGAAACCAAAACTAGCAGAAAGGGTGAGAAACATTAATTGATTTTTGTACAAACTGTTTTTAATTATTTCTTTTTGATGATTCTGAATGAAATATTAATATTTACGAAAATCATCAAAATCGAATGATATTGAAAACGCAAAATACTTCCATACCTGGAAAAAAGGTTTTAATTTCTACTGCTCCATTTTTATACAGAAATGAAAAACGTCGTCTATCTCCATATACTATATTGTGTAGCAATCCATTGAATGAAATCTGATTTAATTCCATGAAGAATGTTTGGAGTACAAACTGAATAAAAAAAAATGTGTCATGAATAACTCAATGTTCATATAAAAGTGATTTTTTTGAAAGTAACTTTTCTTTCGTGTAGTTCAATGTTTATATGGAAGTAGTTATTTTGAGGAGGTTTGAGAGGGCTTCCAGTTTGTGTCTTTGCATTACAACCTACACATGTTTGTATAGAATTCATTTTGAAATGTATTGCTTTTTTCTTTCATTCCCACATTTTTTTGTATAAAATTGGAAAAGTAGAAATCCAACACCTTTCTCTTCTACAAATTAATCCCTCCTGAAAATATACCTCTTCCAATTCAAACATATAGAGGGCTTTTCATGATGAGCGTTAATTAGCCATTTCTGACAAACTATTCAACTATTCAGTATGCATAAATCAATATGACCTACACGCCACATAAATGGCATCCCTATAAGTTTTACTGTGTCCAACATTTGAAAGAGACTGATTTACCTCGTAGAGTGGAATTCTTTGAATGTTCATTTGTCAAGACTCAAGAGGATGAACATTTCCTTGACAATATCATATGGACAGATGAGGCCAAGTTCACAAAAAATGGAGTTTTCAATAGACACAACAGTCATTATTGGGCGCCAGAAAATCCCTATATTGTCCGCCAAATGGGTTTTCAAGAAAGATGGCAATCCAATGTATTTTGTGCCAATGAGTCAATTTTTTATATCGAGTTTTATGATGATAATTTGAATGCATCAAAATATGAAGATTTACTGAGGAATGGAAATCAAATGATTTCAAATAATAGACCAGGAAGAGAACGTGTATGGTACCAAATGGATGGTGCTCCACCCCATAATTCTCATTCAGTCAGCGAAACTTCAACCGAAATCTTCGAAGACAGATGGATTGGTAATAATGGACCTTTTCGTTGGGTTCCTAGAACACAAGATGGAAATCCATTAGATTATTTCGTGTGGGCTTTCATTAAAAATATGGTTTACTCTACTCCAATAACAACAATGGAAGATATGAAATCGAGAGTTACAACTGCTTTCAATAGTTTGACTCCAGACTTGATCAGAAGCGCTACACATGACACATGAATTATTTTCGGTTCGTGTTTCACCGTTAATAAAACTATTGTTTGAAGAGAAGTTCCATTCGATGGTTGAGGAGTATTTTGATAATTATCTTTTCATTGTATTATCTGTGACTAATTGAGAAACATCAAACGAAATCTGTTTTACAAAAGTCAGTGATGAACAAGGAAACCATGACAATTTCCGTTTGAAACAGTTTATCTCGAAAACGGTTCAAAATAGAAATAGTATTATCTGAATAAAGTTAATCTAAAATTGGATGTAGAGCTCAAAAATGTTGAAATATACAGGATGTTCCATTTGAAAAAAATGAGTTCCACTCATTTTTTCAAGGGATCAAAATATCTGCATTTTTTGAAGACCCTGTATGAGGCAAATGAAAATATGACTCGGAGTGAAGATCCTCATAGTATCACTCCACTCCATTTCAAATTTGATCGTTTTAGTGCAAGAGAGTTCAAGATTATCAGCATTTATAAAAGTTCATGTTTGGTAAAAAAAAATATGGAAATTAATTTATATCTTCTAAAAGGTGATAGGTATAGGGAAATAGTATATGAATTTGTTGACAAAGTGATAATGAATCATAATATGATATTATATAAGGGATGTTCTATTTGAAAAATCAAAGAGGCCGCTACTTTAAAGTAGAAGCGACAACGCCGCTCCGTCTAAAACATTTTAGGCGTGTAGGTCATATTGACTTATGCATACTGTGGAATTTTCAGGTTGATTTGTTGAATAGTTTGCCAGAAACGGCTAATTAACGCTCATCATGAAAAGCCCTGTATACCTGTAAAATCCCAGCATTGTAGATATCTATAATTGGTATGCCGGAGAGAATTCCAAACAGAATAGTTATCTGGTAAAAATTTTTCAGGAGTTTTGTCTCATAAATAATATAATTCGTTTTCTGTATAACTGAAATCTATTTGTTCAATTTTTTTTCCAGTTTCGATTCCATAAAAAAGTTCAGGATATTAAAAATTTCATCCCATTGAGAATTCTGCCCAAGGATTATGGAGGAGAGGAGAAATCGTTAAAAGAATTGAATGGTATTTCTTATTTTTAATGCATTTTTCCATAACTCAAGATGAAACTGAACATTTTTGGCTAGTGGTGTTACAATTTATCAATTCTGAGTCCCTGAAATGGAATTATCACCAAAAACGATTGTGGATACTTACAATCGAAACGTCGTGAAGTAACTAGGCTTAAAATATTTCAATTTTTTTTTTGTTTCCACTTGTTCAATTTTCAATAGTTGCTTGTGTTTTAATTTATCGTAATTTCATTTCGGTTTTTTTTTGCTTAATATAATTGTTATTTTTCAGCTATTCATTTCAATTTTATTGTTTCTTTCAGAGATTTCAAAAAATTTTTTATCATATCAGTCCGTCCTGATGGAATTTGAAATATTATTTGATTCTCAGTCATTATCCGAAAATCATAGTTGATACTAACAACCGAAATGTCGTGGAGTAGGTTTGCTTGAAACCTATATTTCCACTTCAATTTATTTTCATTTCTATTTGTTCTCACTTTTCCTTGTACAGGGTGGGCTATCGAAAATTTGACATGGAGGTTTTGGGTACTAAATCTTTCAAATCCGAAAAAACGCTCAGGCAGGTCGAGTTTTATTGGGAGGGGGGCAGTTTTTTCTCCTTTTACAGCGTCATCACTTCAACTCCGGAGCTGAACAACCCTTGGAATTTTAATAGAGAACTGGGGGCGAGTCACACTTGTGTCGCCTCATTTGTTACTGATGGTTTAATTTGCCGTTTTTTATCTGCTACAGATCCAGTTGCACGCACGGAATTTCGCAATTAAATCGAAAACATACTGTCGCGACACATTATTCTCAAGTTGTTGATTGAACAGTTCAGCGGCTCTCGCAGCACAACGTCTATTTCCATAGTACAGTTCAATCAACTCAACCCTCTCTGCAGTTGTTTCTTTAGCAACACGTTACGGTACCCTCTACTAGTAATAATGTAGATATCACTTTTAACATAAAAATGAGAAATAGAAACAGCATTTTTAACCATTTCTCAATTGTCATAGTCCTTTCATAAGAAAAAAACTGAAAAATTAACGAAAAAGTAGCGTAAGAAACAAATGAAAGAGTTCCAAATACAAACAATCCCACTGAGCAGTGGCGTACAACAATTTGTTGCTATTAACAATATTGAAAAAGTTATTTATCGGAAAGAACTCTTTCAGTTACGTCCAAATTAAAAAAAAAATGTTCACCATTGTTTAGAGAAATACAATATCTTTCAAACGATGTGCAACTCGCCCCTTATTTCCTATTAACATTTCAAGGGTTGTTCACCCCTCTGCTCCGGGGTTGAAGGGACGACGCTGTTTGTGGAAAAAAACTGTCCCCCTCCCAATAAAAATCGACCTGTCTGAGAGTTTTTTCGGATTTGCAAAATTAGTACCCAAAACTTCAATGTAGAGTTTTCGATGGCCTCCCTGTATATAACTGACTTTTCACTCATCATTAGTGACTGCTCAATCAGATCTCTGTTATAACATTCCACTCAAGGATAGCTCATTTCATGAGGCGTTTCGTTTGATCATATCATATTTTCAATCGATCTAGATGGTTTTCTCAATTTGAATCAAGCTAAAGTCTCATTTCATCATTTGGAATTTTTCAGAAATGTGGAAAAAGAAATTCACTCAATACAAAGATAGATTCGACGTTCTGGAGAAATTGCGTGTTAATGAAAAGCTGCGACCAAATCCACTGATCAACGATGAAATATTAGGCTTTCATGGAAACTTCAAGAAAATCAATTTGGATTAGTTATGCGAAACATTGAATACGTTGGAATTTTTACCGATGTATTTTATTAAGAATAACATATTTTTTTAGTAAATTTTTCATTATGTTACCTTTGTTTTTCTTTGACGTTCACCTAATACTATACTCCATCAGAAAATGTATTGTTTTTCACAAAAACCTTCAATAAAAATTCAATTATAAGTACTGAAAAGAGTTACCAAATGAACTATACCTATTTGGACGCCATCTAGAAATACTGTACCCCTTTTCAGCACTGGTTGCTGCAGACTGACTTTGTTAGATTGGAATAGGAGACACTTCAAAGATACCAATAAAACAAGGAATACGGTTCATTAAGTTTTGAAAAGGTTTTGCATCACAACCTTGAAAATTGTGAATGTTGAAAATAATTGTGGCCTGTGGCGTGCGTTTCTATAACTTATTAGATCCATGTTTCACTAAAACTGAGAAAATGACGACAATACCTTCTTTGACAGCTTTGACACATAATAATTGTATTGGACCAAATCTGATTACTTTCAGTAATACTATGATATTCAAAAAACAGTCCGTTTCCAAAACTAGCTACATACTTCATAAACACTTACAAAAGTGTGTAAATCCACTGCCGTAAGTGCTGTTTCAAAGGTGCGTAGATCCAATAGTATTATGTTATTTATTGCATGCTACGGTTTCAAAACTTGTTAGATCCTGTTCGTATGTGTACGGTTTCTTTATTGTTTACGTACACATACGATTTTGGTCAGTAGTTGTTTGAACGTGAAGAAGTCTTGTTGTGATTTAGTGTGTTTGCGGTTTAGAAATAAAGCTCAGATATCTTTAACTATCAGAGCCTGGTAAAGGAAGGAAAAGGAATGAATCACATAAGTCTTTTCCAACTTCATAACCATTCAGATACATTTTCAAAGCTGTGTGAATCCACAATTTGTTTCCAAAACTAGTTTAATTCTACTTTTGTTTTCAAATAACTCAGCAAAACATTCTCTAATATTTGTTTGCTGACCGTATATTAGTTTTCAAGGACAACTTACAAATAACAAATCAGTCACACAAACCTACTTGATTTCCAATCTAAAGGTATCAGAAAAGTTTGATTTTCCCGAAATCACTTCTGATGAATTAAACAAGTTTTGGAAACGGGCGCCTCAATTGGTCACTATATAAGAAAGTTAGAGAGTCAATTTTTGAAATTTTTTTCCCAATGATGATCTGAATAGGAATAATAACAAATTACAGGGTGTTACCCTAATGTTTAATATACTGAACCTCACAACTTCTGAACAGAATCCTATTCCTAGAAGTGAAAATCGATAGTTCAGCGTGGGGCTTGAACCAGCGACCAGCACGGCGGTAGATTTGAGTGAGTGAACAAAGCACCCACGTCGAACCGACCGACTACCGTCCGAATCTCCCCCAAATAGACTTTTCTGATTCTTGAGATCCGAGATCCTCCAATTCAATTTGAGAAAGAATGATTTTGGCTTTCTACTTCTCGATACAAAAAAATTAGAAATCTTCGAAAGGAAGAAAGAAAGTAATAAATTTCAAAAAACTAACTCCATACAAAGATTCTCACATTTTTTTGTATGAAAATGGAAAAGTCTAAATCTTTCTTTCCCGTATAATTCAAATCTTTTCATATGATTCATTTTTTGTGATAGATATGTAGGGGTATGGCGAGGCTTAAAGGTCCAGTTTGACTATTTTGAATTTTTCTGTGAAGACTGACCTTACTATATCAAAATATATAGCACTAATCAAACAGTTATCTGACTATGTTCAACACCATTTTCAATTGAATTATTATAATAGAAATATGTATTCCTACAACTTTTCTAGACCTTGTCGTTTGTCTCTTTTTGCCCCATAGTAGGGGTAAAAAGGGACAGGCAGGAGGCAAAAAGGTCCAATATTTAATTTTTATTTAAAAATGATTTTATGCAACTGAAACAGTATTTGGTTTGATGAAATTCAGTCGTTTATTTTCATTCCAAAAACAAAATGTCAAAAGTATTATAATTTTTGAACGAATAACCATTTTTATTTTCATTCCCAGTTTCATTGTTATTGAAAAAGTCTCTATTCTAAAGGAGAATATTTTTTTTACCAACAAAACATATTTTTTCCTGATCATATTACAACAGTAACAGTGCTACTAATAATTTCTATCTTTGTTGAGCTTATAATAGTTTAATCACTTATCAGTCTATATTGAAGAACACAATTAAACAAGACAGCATTATTCATTATGAATGTTAGCATAGCCTGACATTATAACTAATCTTACATAATCTTTTATAGGCTTTTAACGATACAATTAACAATCTTTTAGAAAACAAAATATACTTCTTTAACCGTAACACAAAAATTAATTATGAATGTTGGCATAGCCTGACTTTATAACTAATCTTATATAATCTTTTGAAGGCTTTTAACAATACAATTAACAATCTTTCAAAAAACAAA